GATTCTTTTTTTTTTTACTTTATTTTTAATACAAAACCTTACTTTTCAGTATACAGACCTGATTTCCAGGCATTGTACTGATTGGTAAGACATACATGAGTGGGAGGACAAGCTTATGGCTGGCTCCATGGCGAGGAGCAGGTGCCTGGCCTTTTGCTGGAAATACGTACTGCTTGGTTACATCTCTAATTTGGTGGTGCCTCACTGTTTTCTAAGGTGAATAAAAAACGCTTACAAACCTCTGCTCCTTTTTATAGAAGCAGGGAGGTCCCCATGTTAACTGAAACTAATGTTTTCTTTCTTTTAGCTCTGCATTGCAGAGCATCTGCAGCTCAAATCAGCAGCAAATTCCCTGGGATGCTGAGAGGAAAGCTGGAGCTTTGGGAATTTTTGGTATTGAGTTGGAGCTTGGTGTTTCCAGCGTACTTTTTCCTAATGTCAAACTTTTAAATAAATTTTAAGAAGAACATGTGTTAATGCATTTTTAAATTTTTTTATAAAAGGCTTTCTCATTTGGCATCAGTTTCAGTGAGAAAGCAAAATTCAAGGGGGGGCAGGATTTCAAGCTATTTCCTCCAGACAGAATTCTGATCATGGTAAATTAATTTTGATCCTTTTCATTTCGTAAATTAATTTTGACCCCAGTTCTTACTTATTTGGAGAGGTGCTTGCTTCTTTTCCCATCATAAGTAATGTTAAATGGGAACTTCTTTAGCAGTCTTACAAGAAATTATCTAAGCCATTCTCACTGATTATTCTGTTTCCCTCTCCCCCTTTCTTGGCATACAGTGTCTGTCATATGCTCTTTGAGAATTATCTTGGTGATAGATAAAATATTTTTAAAACTGGGATATTTCAAGAATATTTTTATTTTATATATCTTTGTCAGAAAAGCTGCATAATATTGCAGATTTCAGTCAGCTGCCTGTCCTACCTTCTTCTGGAGCTTGCCATTTTAGGAAGCAGGGGATTTATGAATAACTTAACTGTCTGAATTTAGTATACTTTAGTTAAAAGGAAGTTAGAAATACATTGTTATTACACAGACCAAAACAGAAGCTACAGAAGTATTTAACTTGCAACTGCTCCATTTTCAGCTCACAGAACTGTGGGGCATATTTTTTTCATTCATATTAATTGAATTTTAAAGTGACCTTGTACATGTATTGATTTGAATTAAAATTTTCTACATCAAGGACGAGTTGGCATATATCCTTCAGGCGAAATATTAAAAAGCCAAGCGCTGTCTTAACAGGATATCGACAGAAGAAGCTGAAATTTAATAGGAAAAGTTGGCTTAGAAAGGAAATTGTTGCCTTTTTGTTACAATTGAAAGGTATCTTCTCTGTATAATGAAAGAAGTTTCAGTTGATACCTCTGGAAATGCAGGGACATTTCAGTCCCCATTAAATAGGGACCATCTGGGTGAGTTGACCTCCAGAAGGAGAGACCTGCACTACTGGAGCTCAGAGTAGAGCTACCAAAGTACTTTTTTACCAGAGCCATTAGGTTTTTATTACCTTCTTTCAGGTGATCTTTAGGGACACAGTTGTATGACTATAGGTGTAAATTATATTCCGTACATAGGTCTTTTCTGAAGAGTTAGCTAAGTTGAGCAGGCATTGAAAGAAAATGGTTTGCTGGAAAGCGTGATTTCTAAAATATGGTTGAGGTGAACCTCAAGAGATGAAGTCCTGAAAACAGTTACAAGTCTTGGTTATTAGAGGAAAAAATAAAGGGTATCCCATTTATTGTGTACAATATGGAATGTGCTTTACCCTGAAAATAGCTGTGGAGCATACTCTCGGCTTCCAAATCTAACAGCATCCTCCAATCTAGTGACAGGCTGTTGTTCATTCTTTGTACTACTAGCCTCATTCTTTCAATGCTGTTAAAATGATGAACTGTAATTTCTCTAAGCTACGTGTAGTTTTACAACATTTCTGCTTCTGTCAGACTTAACTAATGATACAGTCCTACAAAAATCATCTTAAAGTCCCGATCTCTATCCCAGCCAGTATAAAACCTACAGGAATCCCTTGTCAAAACAACAGTGGAATGTTTTCTGTTTCAGTGCTGGAGCACTGTAAGAACTAATTCAGAGAGTCCAGCACTAACCCAGCCAAAGCTGCAATGAATTCTGTCATTCCTTTTTGTTACTAGGATGCCTGGGTGCCCCTACTCCTGGAGGACATTATCTCCTTGTACATTACCTCCTTGTACATTATCTCAGTTGAGATTGCAACAGTAGTGCTTCCCTCAGGGAGCTCACAGTCTTCGGTACCCATCTAAGGATGGGTGTACACAGCTCCTGACATACGTGGGAGACAGTCTAACCCCCTGCTTTTGACATTCAAGCAAGTGGGTGATCAAGGCTACTCTTCTGGACCAGTCTGTACAATTTGACCTTTCAGTATGGCATGATGGATGATAGCTGGGGTCTGGGTAGCTGTGATGGATTCTGGAAGTGTGGAGTGAATCGTTGGAAGGGTATGAAAACAGATGACCTGGGAAAAGGCAATGAGCTCACGCAGAGGCATTTTGGAAGCATTTGTGCAGGTGGATCTTGTGGGGAGGTTTGAGGGCAGCAATAACTATATTCAAGCACATTGGTGTGCCAAACATGGGATTTTTCAGCTTGTTATGTTCCACTGTTCACTCTGAGGATTTTCAGGAACATCCCACACAGGCTTCAGATCAACTTCATCCAGTTTTTTTCCACCTGGCAGGAATGTGAGATACATGAATGCAGAACGTAAGGGAAAAGGAGAGAAGTGAGCATCCACTAGTGTGTGTGAAGGCAATGGAGATAGAAAATATTAAACATAAAGCCTGCTCTGGGTGTTAGTAGGGCAGCCTTTTTGTTCTTCCATTAAGAAGATTTGTTTTCTTTTTGGTTAAAATTTTTTCTTTTCCTCCTTTTAATTTTACTGTAGATGGTTGATGCCTAGTGTGAAGTTCTAAGAGTCAGTTCTCTCAGTAGACCTGCATCCTAGCGCAGTGCCAGGCTTACTAAGGAGGAAAAATAAAACCTGTTAACTCTAAATGTGCTGACAACTTTTTTCAAAAGTAATTGTATTTCCTCTTCTTAGCAGTTATTACAAAACTGTCTTTCTGATTCCAGTGCATGATCAGCATCATAGATTGGGCACCTTCAGGTCATGGCTTTGTAGTTTTAACTTAGTTGATATGGTGGGAGGTGCTGAAGTAACTCTGCTTATTTCCTTTGTTTGCAGACCAATTAGGTCTTATTAAAGAGTATCCTGGCAAGATACTGCATTTAGAGCCAAATTCACAGCACCTTATGGCGAATATAGTGTTCCATACATGTTCAGAAAATCCCAACCTGTTGTGAAGGTAGCAATCAGAGAAGATTATTCATGGAATGTGTGTGGCTCAGGCCTTGATACAGGTTACCCTCCTTCAGCCTGTAACATTTTGCTTCAAAAACTTACCCGTTCTTCTGACCTGCTTTTTCTCTTTGCATTCTTGCAGGATTATGCCTAACAGCCTGTCTTCTTGAAGTCTGTCATTGAGTCTTTTTTTCCCTTCTCTCTTCCCTGTCCTCTCTCTTGCTGTCAACTTATTCTTCCCTGTTGTTTAGACTTTTCTCTTCTAGAGCTGCTTTTTCCGTGTCCTGTGCCAAAGAGTTGTCATCAGCTCTTTTCAGGACTTGTAACCCTGTCCTGCAAAATAGTGATATAATAAGCATTATTTACAGTAGTTTGGGTAACTGTTCTGCAAAGTGGTGTGTCCTCACCCCATTCCTACCACCACTTCCCCTCCTCACCCTCCTCCAGCATGGACCCTGTATCACCTGTGAGTTGGAGTCTTTGTGCCAGGTTTTCTGGCTTCCTCCTTGGGGGGAAAAGCATCTTGGCACTTCAGAGTTGATTTGCCCCTTAGTCTCTTAGTCAGCATCAGGCTGAGGTTACTCGTGCTGAAAGAAGGTGGGAGATAGGAGTCATTAGCAGGAGTTAAAAAGGAAAAACACATAAGAAATCAATAAAGATGCGTATTGACTGATTTCTCTGGGTGTGGATTTGTCTGCTGAGGTTAGCAGTAAGAACACAATTGTTCTAGCATGTGTTAATCTGTCCTGGACAAAATGCTGGAACACAGACAATGGAGAATGAGCTACTGCTAGTTCTGAAATATTAAAATGAACTAATTGTTTCTTTTTTATCTGAGTTTTATGCTTTTGTGGCCGAGGAAAAGTTCTGTAATAATCTCTGTATAACAAAACACAAAGACAGAATTATTGTTAGACACACTTCTTAATAATATTGAAGTGCAAGTCCATCTTTGAAATGTAAATTGATTTTTAGATTAAAATGACTTCATTATTGCATTTTTGTCAATACTATAATTTAGGCTTATTTCTGTTGTTATACTCTGACTGACCCTGTATATTTTCCACAATACTAGTTTTTTTTTCTTTACACATTACTGATTTCACAGAGGAAAATTAGACCTTTGAAAATGTAACATTTTTACTTTTTAGCTGTAGTTTCCTTTTAAATAATTTTACATTTTTATTGGACCTAAAATGTTTTCCATTAAACTCATGGCATGCTTTCAAAAGCTAGCATTACAAGAGTCTGATTCTGCTTTCAAATTATTTTTCTCTAAGTGGACTTACTGCAGAGAATATAAAATACATCGAAAATAATCACATTTGCTCATTGTTTTTGACAAGTTATTGAGTTGTGGTGTTAATAAAATTGAGAGAGTTGCTTGGCAGTGTCATGCCTACACAAGGGAATTCTGCGAATTCATACATTTTCAGTTGCAAATGAATGTTTGTTTGTTCTGCACTTTATAGTCTAGCTCTTCCTCATAACACGCAGTGGGTTTAGATCTTTTTTTTTTTTGGTCTGTCTATAAAATATTGAAAACTGAAATTGCATCAACTTAAGCTGTTAACTTGATGGTCCTGTGAATTCAGACGCCATCGACTCTCCTTCAGCTTGTTTTTGTCCTTCTCTTATTGTTCACAGGTTACCTTAGGAAAGGTGTTAAAAGTGATAGTGGTGATGCGGAGCCTCTTCATTGACCGGACAATAGTAAAAGGGTACAATGAAAATGTCTATACTGAAGATGGCAAGGTAGGTTGTTATATATCCAGCAACATTAAATTTTATTTTTACCTGGTATTTAAATGACAGAGAACAAGAATCACATCACAAGTATGCTGAAAACATAAAATTGTCAAAACACTCTGTGGATGTTTTGCACAATGCTCCGGTTTAAGTTTATCATGCTTTGCTTGGATTTTTCATACCCAAATGTCTGACTTCTAAGCTCTGAAGCCCTTGCTTGAATTTCTAATTTATCACCTTAGACCGCAGTTGCCTTGTTAATAGTGTCTACTGAGAAAACATTTTTTTCAGTGTACCAGCACATCAATAGCCCAAGGTTCAGGTTTCTCTTTTTGGAGAGCCATTGGGAAATCTTGGGCTAGTTTTGTGCTCAACTTGATAAACGCATCTGTGAGAATCATTGGTAGGCAGTCTTCAATAATTTGCTTATCAGTAATAGCACATCTTGAACAGCAGCTATTAAAGCGAGCGGTACCTGTTTGCACCAGTGATTTGTTTTATGAACGATTCACCCTGCTTGAACCCTCAAATTTCCTGTGACTGCACACACTCCATATGGCTCTCTTTAGCGCATCACAAGATGTTAATGGGACCTGACGGCCTTCAGCTCAGCTTGTTTCTCCTTCCAGGGTGGAATGGTCTCTCTTCCCGAGACATCCGCCAGGACTCTCCTTTGCCAGTAACAGTTCTAAATACATCCATGTTTCACATTTTTCTCTCTGGAGCTTTCTCTTCTGATTATGAAGCCTATTAAAATAAAAAGTTCATTATATCAGGATGAGTACTTGGCACCCATAGGCCATGTTATAATGAGGTGAGACTTTTTTTCCTTTCAAAAGTGATAACTGTGTTTTAGCGCACAGAAAAGCACGTTGTGTACTGACCCGGGGTTCAGCAGCTCTCAGTTTGAACCTCTGCTCCCTGGAAAAGGCCAGGAGCTGATGTGCTGAAGGAGACAGCACAGCTGTATTTCCCAGGTGAGACATTCTCACTCGAAGGGTGGGGGACTGGCCTGAGAAGTAATAAAATAAAAATCGCCTGATTTTGATTTGCATTATTCAAATATGCAGGTTTAAATGCCACTTTGCCACAGAAGCAGCTGCGCTATACTCCCTGTGTATTAGCATATAAATACAGACTTATAGCACCAGCCCCTCTTCACCCCAAGTTCTGTTGGGAAGTGAAATGAGAGTCTGCCTAAAGAGCAGTGACAGTGCTTGATGGATTCCTGTGTCACACTTCATTTGGGTGTGCTCGTTTTCTCTGATGAATCCAGTTTCCTTTGAAACTCCCTTGAAATATAATAATGCTATATCTGCTGAAAAGCTCCAAGTAAAAAAGTTCCTTTCTGAAACTTGGCATCTGGCGTTGGGCTTCTGTTTAGCTCAAGGTTAACCCTCTTGAGAGCCATAAACCATTTCTGTGTCATCGTTTGCTGCCAGGGGGAGGGCAGGACTCACCGAGGCCGGCTTTGGGCACGGGGCACTAACCTTTGTCTGCTGTCAGTGGGGAGCAGTTCAGCTTCTCCAGAGCATCGGTGCTAACACCTGGCTGCTTTTCTTGCTTTAAGCCAGTCTGCAGGGGAGTCTGTTTTCTGTGTCCAAAGCTGGGCTGTGGGACTGCTCCCACGAGGCTGCACGAACCTGTGACCTTTACGTGACAGTTTGCTATTCCATTGGGCCATCCCAGGGCTTTCTCAAACCTGAAGGTCTGCGTTTTTAGGTATAAATAGGAACATTTCATTTGTCTTAAGTAGAGCGGGAGTTGCAGCCACTTAAATCATGAGTAAATTTGGCTTGGGAAATCAAATAAATGCGTAGCTTGCTAGTTTTGCCAACTGGAGCACATATTGACAAACAGTGAGCTCCCGCTTTTTCACTAATTAACTACGCTGGTAATTGGAGAATAAGAATAAGATTGTGCTCTTGCAATGATTCGTTTTACTTATTGTGCCTGCTGGGAATGAGCGATTACAGTCAATTGCAAACATAGTCCATTCCAATTCCTTCTCTGTCACAACAGATGCTGCTGGGAGAGTGCTTCAGTGAGGTTTCACCATCCTTTTCTAGCTTCTTGGTTTCTAACCTGCTAGGAGGGAAAATACACGAGCATTCAGAAGAGACACAGAAGAGCATGAAAAAGATCAATGAGTATCTCCTCTATTAAATAACTAAAATAGAGAGAATCCTCAGGGTCACAGTAGGAGGTGATCCTTTTTCCAGTGGGCATTTGAAACAGTAATTGCTGAATTTCGGGGGTTGCTTCTGTATTCCTAGCAAGCATTTAATATTTGTAAACAACAGATATAAGATTAACTAGGTGGTGTCGTAACAGTATGGTGATTTTGAAGCTCCTGTCTTTTCTGTAAGCCACGTTGAATAAGGGACACTGGATAAGTCATAGTATCGTTTTGCTTCTTTACCCTTAAACAGCTGAATGAGGGTCTGTTGAGTAACACCCCTCACTGCACAGCGCAGAAGGTCCTTTAAGTAACAGAAGTGAAATTCAGTGGAGGGTTTTCTCCAAGTAGACTGGGGTTTGGGGCAACAAAATATATTCAACAGTATCCAACATAAAAGAAATGGCCGTCATCGGGAGGCTGAAGAATCACAATATGTTTAAAATAGACTGTGCAGAAAAGAGGCCAACAATTTGCTTTCAGATCAGGGGAATCATCATTTATCTCCAAAAGTACAACTGTTTTGGCAAATTGTGCATTGCTGGGAAGAAAAAGGGAAGAGAGGAGTGTGAACAGGAGAAGCATCGATAGTCTTTCTCATCCATTAGTCAGGCAAGTCTAGAATAAAACAAATATTTCTTGTAGTTTCTTGTAGCTGTGGAACTGTGTGTGGTGGCACACTAACAGTTATCCAGGAAAGCTGACACTGCCTTATCCAGGTTGCTGTTGCTTGCTGTCTGCTTGTACCTTGTAGGTTGACAGGTACTTACATGAAAGCTTCACGTGGTTTCTGCTGTGCTGAAATCCAGGTAAATTGGGTTCTCCCTCTTACAGATTTAAATACTTTCAAAATTTAGGTGAAAAAAATAGAAGTCTTAAGCTTGCAGTGATTAAAATAAGACACTACGTTCTGCGGTTTTATTCTCAAGCTTTGCTTATACACACAAAGAATCATTGCATTTCTTCAAGTGCTCCATGCACTTCTCTTGTGAATTATTCACAAACCCTGCAGAATATGTCTTTGCCAAGTTGCCAGCTGCATAACTTAGACATTTTTCGTGACACTTTGCAAAAACAATAGGTGAGATCTGGCAGGCTCTGTCAGGTCCCAGGTTCTGGATGCTGCTGGCTCTGCAGTCTCTCTCTCTTACCGTACGAACCCATTGCATCCACCAGATACTGATGCATTTTAATTAGCCCCGCGGTTTTAGCGATGGCACCGTGCCACCCTCAATTCAAACTCAGACACACTCATTGTGCACTGGAATTTAACCATGGATAGTAATTAATTACAAGTGTTGTCTTGATTCCTGAATAAATGAAGCTTTGCAGCTCACCCTTGCAGGGCAGGTTTATTGTCAACTGAGCCATTAGTAGCCCAAGTCTGCCAATAAAAATAAAAACATATTGGGATTTTTTGGCATAGTGATACCTTGCTTTTCTTCAGATGCAGAGTGCAAGAACCACCTTGACGGGGCATATTTAGAGTGGTACCTAACATCATACCTAGCCAAATTCCTATTTTGGCATCTTTAGACTTAACTAAAGAAACATAAGTGTCTCTGTTGAATTATCATGTTAAGGAACTTGGGTTATGTTAATGCTACAGCTTCATTAATTACCCCATATCAATAAGAAAAGGCAGCTTTTAGCCTCCTAGCGTAAGAGAGGAAAAGAAATAGTAGTATCAAAGGAAAGCTTCAAAGACAGGCAGAGCTGTCTCTCGGGTAATTTCTGATCCCTGCATTCTTTCCACTTCAAAGCTGGATGTGTGTGTTTGGGCGAAGGGGGGGTTGAATCCGATTTCTCTAATAAGTGTTGGCACCGGACCTGTTTGATATTAGATGCAGGGAACATTCTGATTTGTTATCGCCTTTGAAATCGTTCAGACGACCTTCAGAAAATGGCCTCTTGTTACTTATGCTGGGGGTGGGTGGGGAGAGTGGGGCACTGGGAAAAAAAAGCCCCAGTTTAATTCACATGCAGAGGATGCCCTGAAATTGTGCTTTCAGCAGTTTTTTAGTTACAAATGTGTGTCTTGATTGAAAGTGAAAAGTTGAAGAATAATAGACCTATAACGATGCATTCTTTAATCCGCCTCTGCCTTAATCCTCTGTTTCAGGGGGAAAGGTGGGCAGTCATTTAGGACGTACGCATGTGGTTTGGGGAGCTTTTTTTTTTCTTCTTCTTTTTTCTTTTTTTTTTATTAACTTGGATAACATCATGTCTGTAAGACAGACATTCATTACTTTTTCAGCTTTTCAATCTTCATGCCAACTAACGAACATTCAGAACCTGTTGGACTCATCTTAATGCAGCAGCTGAAGTGGACTTTTTTTTTTTTTGAGTCTAACTAGAGAGGATCACATACTTGGTTTGATCACTAGAGATTAGCAAAACCACATACACATTCCAATTATAGCAATTCTACAGTCAAAGAAAGCCTTAAATTACAGGAAAATATTTTTTTGAAAATATGCATTAATTTTTTATTTTCAAATGCAGACTTTTCTAATATAAAATTCCGATCCTTCCTTCCCCCCAGGCACAGGTCTGTTATTACACTGTAAATCAAGCTCAGGTCCAAGTCCAGGTTGATCCCCCGGTGGTGGACTCTAGAGATAAGTGTTGTGGGTGTTCACACGGGTTCTTCATCCCACCCTAAGAGTCAGTAAATATAAAAAGATTTGTAGGTACTTCTTTGGGTTATGTTAATGCTACAGCTTCATTAATTCGGGGTACTTCTGTCTTTGTCTGACCTGGAAGAGCCATGGAGACATCAGCTGCCTTTTGTCTCATGGCAAGGTCAGCCTCAAACATCTACCCTCAAGTGGTTTTTGAAGTCTTTAGCATCGCCTCCTGTCCAGACTGAGGTTTGGGCACCCAAGTGTTACTTCTGTACCAATATATACAACTGGGCCACTTAAGAGTGTTACTCTTTAAAGAATGGGAACTTTTCGCATTTTGACCCTTTTTAGCAATGGGAATTAATTACTTGGTCAGCATCCTTCCCCCTCTAGTGCGTTTTACTCACTTCATATGACTTCCTTCATTTCAGACTCTATTTTTTGTGCCTTTTTGTGCTTTGAAAATTCAACTAGAACTTATGAGCACTATCGTAAGACAGAATTAAAATAATTAGTTGTACTTTATAGTAAAGGAGATAAACCCCCATTGTGGGAAAGCATGTGTCTGACCACTTTATCAAGCACTGGAGGAGCTACATCTGCTTCAAAACTTCACTCAAAAAATATTTTCTTTTGTCTAGACTAAGATTCCTGAGGTTCATGCTGTAGCAAACACCATTTTTGTGACAAGTTTTGTGCATATGGAATTTTTGAGTTCAGTGGGATCTGTAGGAAAAAAGTGATTTGCAAGTCTGGGACTGATGGAAATTCCTCTTGTGTTTTCCTGCTGCTTTTCCTTGACAGAGTACAAGATATTCCACAGGGCTGGGCTAAAAGAGCATTAGCATGTCAGTTTAAATTGTTTAATATGTGAGCCATTTGGTTGTTTAACAAGGACAGCCTTACCTTCTGGTGTCAGGGGTTAATAAAACTTCAGTTTTGCTCCTTTAGTTTGTCGATAGTTGAGCACACATTTAAGTCATGGATGTGTGCAGTTATCTGCAACCTTAAATCTCTTTTAGTGTGATTTTTGTCTGCGAATGTAAATGCAGTTTCCTAAGGGATGTTTTATTTAGCCCCAGTAGACCACTGCTTTGGCTTAATTCAGCTAAACGTTCTTTGTGTCGTTTGTAACTGAATCACTTATTCAGACACAAGACAAGCATAAACTTGGTAAAAATGCCCTCATTTTGGAAACAGACTGAAGCTGATGAATATTTGCATAGATCAGCCACAACCCCAAACAAATGAAGATTTTGCTGTTTTTAAAGAGAACGCATTAATTTAGCAGGTCATGTATATATAATTTTTTTTTATTGAAGCTGTGATGAACTGTGTTCATTCTTCATTGCAATGCAAAGGAAACCATATATCATTAATTCCCTCTCTTGGATAGCAGCAGGTATAGGCAATGGGTCAAAATAGTGAACTGAGAAATATGTCTCTGTAGATCTGTTTGCCTGCTCTTTTAATTTGAACAGCTGTTTAGCTTCTTTTTCTCTGTAATCACGTGTGGTAATATATAACTTTTTTTTTCCTACTGTAGCTTGACATATGGTCTAAATCCAACTATCAAGTTTTTCAGAAGGTAAGTCTCACATCATTTCTTTCTACATTATGTCTATAGGAGGTATGCAGAGTTTATTTTAAATATCTAGGCCCTTATGTAAAAGAATTTAGAATTTATTTCTTTGTCATCACAACTTGCAGATAACAGACAATAATCTGTAATAATGGAAAACTCTGAGTAGAAAAGGAGATCACTTCTGCTGCTGTTTAATTTGGATTTATTTCCCATCACAGTTCCAGTCTGTGGTTTGGAATAGGAAATTGGAGATTATACTACTATAGCCTTAAAATTTCATGCGGAATCTTCGAGCGCACTTTGTTTATATCTTTTGGGGGAGGAAGGACTGCTTCAGGTTCATTTGTGTTTTGGTTTTTTATTTTCATTGGGTTTGGTTGCCCATCTCTCCTGAGGGCTTGAGTTTAATAAATCAGTAGAATTCACTTCCCAAAATGAGTGTGGAAATTGTTTCCATGATGTTATTTTGCCTGCTTCTCTTCCCATGATGGTGTAAGGAAAAGGAGTAACTTATTGAAAGGAATGAAAGTAAGAAAAGACCGATGAGAGAATGGGAGCACTAAGTATAAAACTACTAAGGATGTTAAAGTCTATTTTGGAAAGATCTATATCTTGCTATTTTCCAGGCAGGGAAAGGAAGATTTCTCTTTGAAGGCCTCTTGTCAGAATGCTGTAAGTTCAGATTGATCCAGGTTTAAATTCCAGTTTCCTTACCTTCAAGCCACAGTTCAAGGAGCTTGAGTCTCCAGCTGGTGCACTGGCTTCCTTTCATCTACTTCTGCAGTTTGTGTAACAAATGGGGGTCAGGGCCTCGAAAGGGCATAAAAGCAGGGGTCAAAAGTATGGTATATTGGCTGTATTTGTGCATCTTCCTTCCAAGATTTCAGATGCAGTCAGAAGGGAAGATGTTTGACCTCTGATATTAACCTGCTAGAGATCAAAGGACAGCTTTTGGGGAGGTTGGTTGCTCTCCCTCTCAGCCCAGCATTAAAGCAAAATTTTGCTGCGGTTGATTCTTTACTCCAGAGATTAGTGGATTAAATATTCTTTCTTTTTTTTCTTTCTCCTCAAAGTTACTTAGTGTCAAGTAGGGTAACACAGGGGGAATTAAAACAGCATATATCTTAGTAACTTGTTTATCAGTATGCTTTAAAGTAATTTTTGCAATGGAATAGATTTAAGGTTCTGTAATTAAATGCATCATCTCAATTCCCCATGTGTGTGTTTGGTTCTAAGCTCATTTGGGCGTAAGATTCTCCTCCTGGATGGTTTGGTTTAGAATAACTTGGAAGGGTTAAGTCATACTGCCATAATAAATCATGAGGTTTTGATTATATAATTTTAATTGTCTATGCAGGACAGCAGAGTGGGGTAAATGTACGATTTGCTTAGAAGTCCAGGTGATCAGATCAAAAGTGGAAGAAGCCAGTGAGAAAATGTGCCCCTCTTACTGCTGCCTCTGTGGCTGCGTTACAGTTAAATAAGAATCTTTATTCTCTTCCTGAGCTTCTGAAATAATGTGATGCAACCTGAATATTAAGTTCCTGTTCGCCAATTCCCTCTCTGTAAATAATACCAAATGCATTAATATTTACAAAAAAAAAAACCAAAAAAAACCGCAAACCATAAAGAAAAGGCTGCAGGAGAAAGGGTTGCCTGTAACAAGTTGAAAAGCTGTCTGCGTTTTTTTTATAGTAGTTTTATACGGTTTGTTCCCAGCTCTGTCACTCTGTTACCTTGAGCAACTTCACCTCTCTTTGGATCAGATTTACCTCATCCCTTAGGCTGGGGTAATACTTGCTGACTTCACAGGAGCTATTGCTGAACTGGTTGCAGGGTACTCTCAGGTTCTTGCATGAAAAATGGGATAAAAATGCAAGGTGATGGTACTTTCTAATCAATACATTCTGTACTATTGAGCTGAGAGTTAAAGAAGTTAAGGCTAGGACCCAAGTCAGGTTTTCAAACAGATGATAGAAAATGCTGTGGTTCAGCATAGTAAGTTTTCTCTCTCAGGGGCAGTGCTTGGTTTCGGTTTTTTCTTTATTCTCTGAAGCTGCACTTGTATCCATTTATAATACCCAGGAATAGTGATTTAGCAGTAGCAGAATAAAGGAAATAGATAAAATAGTGTTAGAGAAACTATTACACTCTGTTACTGGTGTAGGATCTGTACTGCAGGATCTTCAGAACAAATGTTTTCATGCCATTAAAAAATCATCTGTAAATATGTCAGAGCACATGTGAATGTTCCCGAAACGTGTTTTTTGTGGCAGTCACCAGGAGCATGGTGTGGAAGTGCTGTGCTGAGGAGAAATAAGGATGAGTGACTGCTCCCACCGAGGAGGCTGCGTAGCCCTTTTGGCTCTACTGACTTTAAGAGTGTAAAATCAATCATCCCTCTGAAGGGCAGGGCTGTGTCTCTTTAAAAGCTGGACCAAGTTCTCAAACCCTGTCTTCAATGATAATACAACAACATCTGGAGCTCACAAGGTATCTGCCGGGGGTAGCTGCGGGCCTGTCAAATTCTCACAGGGCTGCAGCACGACTCTCTAGGTTAAGGACCAGAGACCTCTGATCTTCAATCCAACCCTGTCAAACAAAGCTAAATTTGTCCTGACTTTTTGTTTGCAAACGTTGGCTGTGTCAGCAAGCCTTTTCTCTCGCCTTCTTATTAGGCAGGATACCCGAGTGTGTATAATTTGATGGGGGACGACTCCCAGAGGGCCCATTACTGTTAAAGTGTACAGTCATTTTCTAAGTTCCCTGGAGACTCCTTGAGTCTGATCCTGGGGTGAATAAGCTTTATCGGCTTTGAATCCACCAGCAGGGTTAGATTCAGAGAATGGAGCTGGGAAATAAGAGAGGGAAGGCTGAAAGGGCAAAAGCACAAGGAGCAAAGAAAAGGTTTTTCAGACTTCCATGTTGGTCTGACATTTAAGCTCCGCAGGAGCAGCAACTGTTTTGATCTTAAACCTCCTTATTTTAACACCTTCCATCTCTTCATCCACTAGCACAAGAGGAGGAACAAATCCAGAAATAAAAAATATTTTGGGGCTTAAATCTTGGTGGAAAGAAGAGTGAACATGGGGGCTGCATAACTCCAGGTGATTGTGTAGAGTATTAAAAAAAAATTTAGAGAGTGGTGCAATATTCATAACTTTGCATTCAAAAAAGAGGCAAAAATATAGAATAGTGGAACTGCTCTCAGTGGGTGAAAATGGGAGATGGTGTCAAACATTAACTGTTTCATTTATCAAGTTGCTTAGTTAAGAGCAGCACAGCTGTTTCAGCTGTGTAAAGTCATATGCATAGGCTTTAAAGCCGTATGTTTTGTTCTGATCTCAGAGTCCCATTCTTATTTTCACCTAAATGGGCTATCAATTTTAGTGTGCCACAAACTGGTCTTGTTTTGGTTTGATGTGCTTCTTCCCATGGCACGTTTACACCTAAATTTGAGAAGCTGTTTGTGCCTCTCCAGCTGTTTGTGAGCTGTGTGATCCCAAAGTGATGCAACTCAGAGCACGATTTTCACCACTACAAGGACACATAAGTATTGTAATGTATGAAGATGTATTCTTGTCAATAATCTCAGCATAAAAACACATGCGGGATGAATTCATGCATGAGACAAATATTGGGCTATTGATGATGTCTGTTCAAGGAGAGGAGATGGACTGTTCCAGGGTCACCTGCTCCTGGGCATGATCAGTTCTTGGCTCCATTCAAAAACCTGCTTAGGCGAAATAAAATCTCTATGACCCAGCCCAAACAAGCAGAACAAGCGAAATAAAAACTTAAACACTCTGTGAGCTCTGAAAACAAGTGATAAATCCTATGCTCGAGAAAAGTCTGGCAGCGCTTTACTGAATTGTGAGAGGGGAAGGATGTGTAAAGGATCTGTGTGGAGTTCATCAGTGCTGCGTTCATAGAGGCACCATCCATCATCCTTCCCAGCGCCCCTCAGGCACTGGGTTCTGTGCTCTGGATTCCCTCCAGAGAGACTCAAACGTGATCCTGGAGAGATGATTGAAGAATGGGCATCCTTGGAAATGAACAAAGGCACTCATGCAGTTTTCCACACTGTAAAAAGGTCTAAACACTGATAAAATAACTTCTTTTTTTTTTAGTGCTGTCATCATCCTCCAGAACTACTTGTTAAGGCCATGAACTTAGCAGGGTTTCAAAAAAAAAATAAAAAGAAAAAACTTTTCAGGGGATTTAGAGAATCCCTTTATATTAGATGGAGTTGTCAGTGCCGTACTTGAGGGAATAAACCAATAAGTAAGTGGCAGGGAAAGTTATGACTCTTCAAGGAAGTTTCGCAGCAACTTTTGAAAAGCATATTTACTGGCAGTGAGATGAAGTACTAGAAGAGAGACAGCTTCTGTAATTTAGGCGTGTGATATCTGTCTTTTCTTGCTTTAGATTTTATGCCAGGTATAGGTTCACACGTGTGTGGAACATACCTGGTCTGTGGTGGAGCAAAGCAATACCATAGGTCCTTGCTTTTCTGCTTCTTATCTACTTAGAGGAAGCACTTGTTCAGCTTTCTCAACCTGTAAATTGTAGAATGTGGGTTTTTTTAATTTGAATGACTTTTCAGCTGTGGGAATGCTATGTGCCTAAGAGGTGTCAAGGCTCAATAATGCCATTTTTTGGTTGTATCACCTTTGGGAAGCACAATTTGGCAGAGCAGTACTGTCAAGAAAAACTGTAGAAATGACTGGTCTTGGTTTGGTTGAGACAAAGAATAGGGATTTTATTTTCTACTCATTGCAGGGTGCTGATCATGAGCTGTTTATGAGTGTATGAGTGGGCAGGCAGAGCAGTGGGGTGCAAGAGGGAGCCAGGAGTCGGTGTGGAGTCCGTGTGTCCCCACTGCTGTGGGGCAGAGCAGTGGCCTGGGCTCAGGTTTAATCCTGTATCAGTCTGGTTTGTATTCCTGATAGATACAGTGCCCCAGACAAGGGAGCAGAGATGTATTTAAGTACTTGTTTATCGTCAACTCACATTTGGAAGAGAAAAGAGGGGGAAAAAAAAAAATCTCAGACAATATAATTAACTATTAACAAGAAGGGAAGTTTTCTTGTTCAAATTGAAAACAAAACCGTGCCTTGGGAAAGCAGAATCATTTCATACAGTTTAAGTTGGTTTAAAGGAAAAGACTGAATCAGTCTCTTTGCCAGATGTTTTTTTTTCCACGTACCTGCAGTCTCTCTTGCTCCGTCAACTCACATTTGGAAGAGAAAAGAGGGGGAAAAAAAAAAATCTCAGACAATATAATTAACTATTAACAAGAAGGGAAGTTTTCTTGTTCAAATTGAAAACAAAACCGTGCCTTGGGAAAGCAGAATCATTTCATACAGCTTAAGTTGGTTTAAAGGAAAAGACTGAATCAGTCTCTTTGTCAGATTTTTTTCCGTGTACCTACAATCTCTTTTGCTCTGTCTCAGAGTGGGAACATGCTTAGGTAAACAATAGCTATTTTATTTAGCAAAATTGTGGCTTCAGGAGATTGCCTTGTTGTGACTTTTTTTTTTCCCCCAGACAAAAATTCCAAGTGCTTTTCAATATATGAATTGTGAAATATTGAGCTTTTCTGCAAGATCTCTTGAAAATCTATTTCAAGGTCCAGAGCAACAGCTGTCCCAATCAATGTCTGCTCTTCTGAATGTGTTCCTGTATAAAAACAGGTAGAGAAATTAGAAAGTGACAGATAACTTTGATAGCAGTAGGTTAGGTATAGCAATCAAAGTGAAGTTAATAAAATAAAGCCCTGAAATGTACAAAATGTCATCCTACACCCAGAATAAATTAGTTTGTGATTCCAACTTGGCTGGAAGAAAAAGTGTGTCCCTTAAGTGAGCTGGTGCATATGCAGTTTGCTTTGCTTTGCTTTGGTGTGAAATTGTATTGCCATTAGTAAAGCTGGGTATTGATTTATTTTTTTTCTTTCCTCTTCTTTTTTTCTCCTTTTTTTTTTTTTTTTTTTCCTCTTTTAATCTTGGGCAGTTTGTGCTTTCTCTCATCATCTCTGTTATCCTGGGGGGGGGGTTAGTTCTTCCCTCATTCCCAAGCACTGGCCAGTTTATCATTTGCCCAGCTCTTTGCTATTTGACATTATGGTGTTTGCTAGTTTTGGGGGGGTCACTCCCCTACTCCTCTTCCTCAGATTTGACACCCACTTTGATCTTTTTTAGAAGCACTTCATCAGCATTTGCTTATGGTAGAAATCGCCTCCTTTTTGTTCAGAAAACATTGTTAGTGTTCTAGCAATGCTGGGATGGCTTTTATCTCCCTGTGGAATCTCATTAGCTTTACATTACAATAGGAACAGCATATGTGCAACTTTGCCAAAGTGGCCAGTCAATTTAAATTTGTTAATAGCAGTATTTTTTTTCAGCAACTTTCTTCGGTGCCAAGAGAAAACAACTTTGTTGTTCAGGAAAAAAAAAGAATTGCAGTCTGTTAGAAGTAGAAAGACAGCAGAAGGGGAGCGGCTGCTCATAAATATCTTCAGAACTTTCTATTCTTTGACATGTCTGGTACTACCCTATAAATGCACTATCTTAAAAGAAAAAAATTCACATCGCTAGTAGGGCTTGGATTACAGTCATTTCTGAACACTACATGAGATGTGTTTAAAAGAAATTACTGATTTGAGTTATGCTGTGCTATTAATGCACAGTTAACCACATTATTTCTGATTATTTTTTTTAATGTGTTCAGTGGTTATCTATACATGGCTTAAGCAGGCAGAGGTCCATTTTGTGAATATTTTTGCAAACTCACCAGAATGTGTGCAGTCCCAAAAGTTTTCCCTTCCAAGTGTGAGGATCTGGTGTCCGTGTTCACACTGAACGGAGCTGCGTTTGGAGTCAGGCACGTGCACCACCGATGGGGAGCAGAGTCTGGTCCTAAAATCGTGGTGTAACTTCCAACTGGATTCAGTGTAGGACAGACTGATTTGATGGAGTGTTCTGCGGAGGAAGTTTGTATGGTGTGAATTAGAGCCTGTCTATACATGGATTTATTCAGGAATACATCTTCTACCCTGAATAGCTTCAAGCACAAGGCTCGCTCCTTCTCCAGTGAAAGCTCCGAGTGCTTCAGTACAATCCACATTGCTGAATCCGACTAAATACAAATCAGGAACAAGTGGAGGGAGCTGGGAATAGCAATTGTAATTTCAGTTCACACTTTATCTTACTCCAAATTTACTATAGTGTAAAGACAAGCCCTGGGAAATATATCGACAAGGCCTGAGAAGAGCACTACTTCTCTGTGTTAAAACTAGAAAATACAATTTGAATCACTAACTAGAGGATCACGTAGTTTGTTGGATGCTTTGATATCACTGCCGAGGACTGTTAATAGACTTACAAGTTACAAGATGTAAAAGACCTCTCGTGGTTGTTTTGTCTGAGTTCTTTAATAGTCCAGCCCAAAGAATTTTGCCAATAATTTCTGCATTAAACCTAGAACTTCTGAGAAGAATCAAGCTGTTGACTGTGCTAATAATTTAGGAAGCTCTAAACCTGCAGCTGACAGGCTGAATACTGGTAGTGAATGTATCCTAGCTGTCAGAAAGTGCCCATTTTCAAAATAATTTCAAAATGGTAGTGATTTTTTTTTAAAGCACCCAAACTATCAAAGCATTGCTTGGTTTTCCTGATTTTTTTCCTATAATTATTCCTTTTATTATAAATATATCTTTTATATGTATTCTGTCTAGCTATAATTCCCAGATGTAGCATATTGTCACGGCTCTGTCTGGGAAATTAAAAAGCTTTCTATCAGAAATCTTTTAGTAATGCGAGTATTTATAAACCGTAATCATATTGATTAATTCCTGCCTTCAGAGGAAATGAAACTGAGAGTTTGATTCCTGTTTCTTCAGTGTTAGCAACCTGAAATAGGACTACAAGAGTTAAATATTTTAAGTTTTTCCATTAAAAAATGGAGAGGAGCATGCAAATTTTTTTACATTAAAATGCATTTTCAAATCAAGATATTTTATCGTGGTGTTTCAGGGGCTGTTTTAATAAAACAGACCAAAACCAAAGCTTTGGGTTTTTTGAAGTCATAACCTCTATTCTAATAAGTTAGTCTTCCAGAAGTATTTAATTTAGCTATGCTATTGACAATGTTTTTTCTTTTGTTTAGCAAATCAGCATAGATTAAGAGAATATATTGTCTGTAAAAAATGACCAAAGCGAAAAATGGGAACACACAAAGAGAAAACTGAAGTGCTTTCCTCTGACATGATTTTTTTAGTGACTTTGTGATTTTACAGAACACACAAGATTTCAATCACAGAAGCATAGATTCTGCTCTTACGCTGTAGGCAGTTGAAAATTAGGCAAGTTATTTGCAATGGATGCTTTTATTTTATATGGTACAGAAGATTTCATTTTTTCCTTTTTATGGCTGGGTTGGTGTGAATTCAAGCCTGTCTAGTCCAAAGTGGGAAGCAAAGCACATTAGTTTCGTGTTGTTCCATGTGGCATAAAGCTGGATGCCTTCCTCATCACTTGGCTCACATCAGCCACCAGTTTAGATTCTTCAAATGCTATTAGTTTTTATGATGTTTATGAACTTCCAAAGGTGTGTTTGATTTAACTGCCTGTGTATGAAGTTATTTATCACGATTGCTTCAGCTGATTCTTGTATGAGGTTGGCAGAGGGAATGGCAGCTAGTTGGCAAAAGTTACCCAAAATTAATTTGAGAATGTCTTCGCACTCATGTAATCCTTGGTTTGCTACTTCCCTGTGGAATTTATACTGTTTTCCTGCAGATTAACACTGCTTTATCTGAAGCACAGAATGAATAAGGCTACATTCTCCTTTTGTCTGATACAGGTGACAGACCATGCCACCACTGCTCTGTTGCACTACCAGCTGCCTCAAATGCCGGATGTAGTGGTCAGATCTTTCATGGTAAGTGGATTGGAAAATACATTTTTCCAGATAGACTTCAGCACACGTACAGTGAGTCACTTGAGGCAGTTCTGATGCTGTTGTAATTTCCTCTATTTAAACCAGCTAGACAGTAGAGATTGACTGTAGTTCTTTCTGTCTCGTACCTGGAAGTGGAAGGATGGGAAGTGGTGTGTGTTATTTGGAGAGTGGTGAGAGGCAGGAACCTGGTGGGGAAGGGTCCACCTTGCTTACCTTTAATTCTGTTTGTATTTAGAATTGTATTTATGAAATAAACTTATATATAAGCAGCCCTGTTAATCAGAGGGTGAGACCAAGGGTTTATGATTCAGAATTCCTTTCACCAAGATGAATTCTGGCAGTGGAGACTCTTGCTGTTCTCTCCGCTGCAGTCTCCCAAAGGAGGCTTTTGGGAGACGTTTTCTCTGCAATTCAGACTTTTTCCTTCATTTACTTCCATTACGTTACCCCTTCACCTGGAGCAATTTAACTGAGACTTTTGAAAACAAACGTCTAATTTTGCCATTCATAATCTTTAGGTTTGTACCTTAGCACTGGTTCTTTTGTATCTTTAATTTCCACTGTGTGATTTCCGAACAGTAAGGCTCCCTTACCTGCAGTGCTGGTTTGTTTATTTAATAAAAAGGCCACTAAGATGAGAGATTTGCAAAGGTCTTTTCTCCTGGAGTGCATCTTAAAATAATAGCTTTTGAAAGGTGAAAGCAACTCTTACTGGTCAAATCCATGTTCAGCATGTTTCTGAAAATGAATGTTTAATAGAATGGGTAGCACGTTTGTTTAAGTCATGGACCTGCCTTATTGATTTGATAAAACACTACTAAAACTTCTAACAAAGCAAAACCAGATGTACATCAGAAGTGTCAATATGTTGGTCCTTTCACATGTCAGTTGTGCAATCCACATGACAGGATGTAGTGAAGCCCTAATTTTCTGGTGGGAATGAAGAACACTTTTTTTTTTTTCTTTCGACAGATGTCTCAAGTGCACAATTTTACTTCATTTACCTATTTTTGTGTTATGGTTCAGAAAATTCGATTTCTCTGTAGTGCAAGCAAAGCCCATCCAAGCTGAAGTAAATAACAGCAATTTACTTGTAGTGTTCTGTTGCCCTTGTCCACATATTTACTGCTAAAGCCAGAGAAGATCTAGTTCTTTTGGAGGAGAGTTATTGACGGCCAAAGGTTTGGTTGCTATAGAGAAGGCTCTGATGAAGATGGAAGGATTTGTTTCAATAAACTCAGCTGACCTCTTCTTCAGAGAACAATTTTCTCTTATCGATGTAATTCAATAGGACTTTAAATGACAAGATTCATGTGCATCCTTCACAGTATAAATCTGCTGGTCTAGGTGGTTTTCAGTTGTGTATCTCCTTGAGTTGGGAATTGAGTTATGCAATGCCCATTGCTGTGTATGATGATGGGACCAATCCACTTTGGAGGCAGGAACTTCACTGAGGAACACCAGAGCTTACTCTGTGATGCTAAGCACTAGCCTTTTATATATATAAATATATATGTTTATCAGTGTAATCAGATTTAAAACGGTACAGAATTTTTATGACCAACGAGTATTGATCTGAAAATCACATTAGAGAGGAAGTTAGTTAGCTTGCTGTGAAAGTCCTTATATCTTCAGCTATGAAGATTTCAGACTGTTGCGGTGTGATTGCAGCAGGGGTGTGACAGATGATCATGGGAAGAGACAAACCAATATTCGGTTGAAGAAGGAACCCATCAAGAACAATTACATCCCAGTTAAAATGCGAGGTGCATTACAATGTTTGCCTTCCATTGTGATTCTCTAGCAGTGAAGAGCTCCTTCTCAGAGTGCATGAATTTCTATTAACAAATTTGCTTAAGTGACTAAAAAAGCAAAAGATGATTAATAAAGTGGGAATTCAGCTATACAGTGACCTTGTAATCTTCTAATGTTTCTGTTTATAAACTGACTGTGCACCTCACTGGGGCCTGGCCAAAGCATAGTCTCTGTCCTTGCTATCAGTTTGACAAGAATGATGACAAAGGGGAACGTCCATATCCAGTTTTTTTTAATTCCTCTCCCTTTTCCTTTTAGACCTGGTTAAGAAGTTACATAAAGCTGTTCCAGGCTCCCTGCCAGCGCTGCGGAAAGTTTCTGCAGGATGGCCTGCCACCCACGTGGAGGGATTTCCGAACACTTGAAGCTTTTCATGACACTTGCAGGCAATAGTGGCCATTGGTGATGCAAGGAGTGAGTGCTCTGTGGGGCTCGGATGAGACCCGGTGGTTTAAGAGCTGGTTCCCTTCCTGAACCTTTCACCCTGTACCAATAGTCAGGTTGCACTTAATACCTTTGACTGCAGGGTACCTGTGAGACTGCTGCATTTGGAAGAAGGTGGTAAGAAGCTGTGTGTGATCATTTTGTTCCAGAGCTGGAATAATGCATCTGGGGAGATCTAACAGTAATAATCATTATTCTAAACATTAATGAAATTACCAGTGTACAGTTTGTGTTTTGTGACAGAATTTGCAAAGTTGAAGACTTTTATAAGCTTGAAATAAATTTTGTATTCCAGAACGTGTGCTGTTTATTTCATTATTTGATCAACAAAGTCCTTGGGTTCGGTGTGGATTTTTCAACACTGCTCTTCTCTTTAGAAGAACTGGAATCATTTAAGCGCGCACGCTGGTATGATGGGGGTTGTTGTTGTTATTGCAGGGCTGCTTATCTGAGCCCTGGTCTTTTTCTGGAAGAGATTATGGCATTGATTAAACATGGAATTTCAAAGGCATGTGGCAGCTTGGAAGATGCAGTGTACTTTCTAAGGCGGGGGGAAACAGATGTTTCCCTTTACTAAAATTGTAATGAAAAACGTTAGCAAAATCTGCATTTATTAAGTGGTTAGAAAATGTGTGATGAGCAGTGACAGTGTGTATAATTCGTCGTGTTTTAGAACTGAAATTAGTAAAATAATTCAGCCCTGGAGCACAGCTTCAGCAGTGCAGACACATAGAGCATTTTTCCTAAATGGTTTAAAATTTAGTTGCAACACTCCAGTGAGGAGTGAGATCCCTCCCGGTAATCCCTGCGCTCGGAATGGATGGGAGTGTCCAGCTCAGAGGAGCCCCAGCCAATTTTTCCTTCACTCCAAGACCGGGAAGGTCCGTGGTCCTGTCCCAGCTGATTCCTCACTGGCCTGGGGTTAAGTGTCTTCCCTGGTATTTCTTGAGAACTGTATGTTTTATCTGTCAGCTCCTGATGGCCCATTTGATTAATTCAGCTGTCATCCCCGCTGGAGCACCCTTGGTTCCTTTACGAGCCACAAAGGCTTTGGTAATAAGCTTGGGAGGTGGTAAGGGGGTGTCTGGAGAAGCTTTGTCACTCAGTTAATTTTCAGATAAATCAACATTAAGGTATCGTGCTGCTTTGGTGGTGGCAAGGTTTGGGCTTGGTTTTCAGGAAAGAATGTTGAGTGAAGTTAATCACATTTAATAAAAAGAAGGGGCAGGGGGGACACAAAAACAGGGCAGGAAGGGGAGGGACCCTTTTTTTTTTTGCGGCTGATTGAAATAGGGTGTTCAGAGATTTTTAAAGCACTTGTTTAATTGAATTTGAACCTACAGCATTTATGCAACGGCCCGTTTCATAGCTGTGGAAACTGAAAAATGAAGAAACTTAAGTATCACCCTGTGCTCACTGAATTAACTGTGTTTGCTTGCTGGTAAGATAAAAGACTTGAGCTCCCAAAGACAGCGGCTCCTCCTGCCAGGACAACGTGTGAGGTGGGAATTTCAGCTTTTTAGGTATAGAAATCCTTGCGAGACTGGCTCGTATAACAGAGAGAGGAACTTGAAAGAAAATATGGGTTTATGACTTCCTTTGGAGGCACAACATTGGGTATGAAGAATGAGCTTGTACTTGTTTGAGGATGTTGGTGAGATGTGATTATTATTTTTTTTAACTTTCTGTATTTATTATGATTGTTATTATTATTCCCAATCACCAAACAGAACCATGGCCGTAGCAGTGGGATAATGGCCATTTCAAATCCAGCTGCAGTTGAATTACCTGATGAAAACTTGTGCTATTATTTGACCCAAGTAGCCTTCTCTGTACAAAGATCACCCAAGACAGAACGGTGTGTGCATCTTAGATGAGAGAGAGCCTTGTAGAGAAGCAGCCCTGCCATCCGTCCCGTTACTGTACTAATTAGAAGGCCTGGCTTTCTGATAGCGTAAGCAATTTTGGTTTTGTTAATAAAAAGGTCATAATATGGTATCCAACCTGATGTAGGCACTGCTGTCTGCTCCCTTCTGTTTATCCTCAAATAATGGTGTAGAAAGCAAATCCTGAAGTTCACAAAAGTATCGTGTGTGGAATCGTGTCTTGGCACTTGGAGATAATTAGTTGCAGAAAACGGCATCAACCACCAGTCTGTGTGTTAATTGAGCCTGAAATTTTAAACCTGTAATTGGTGAGCCTGATGGAGGGTCATAAAATTCACTGTAGGTACCTCGGTACAAAAATAATTGTTTTACGGAAGCGCAGCACAAACCTGTTTGTCGGGTTTCTTCCCCCAGAAAACTGCAGTGGGAGGGAATCCTCCCCTCTTTGGAGACCCTGGGAGAAATGGTGATTTCTGCCCCTGTGAGCCTCTACGTGGGACAGGTTGGAATCGTTCCATTTTGAGGGATGAAATTCAACTGGCTAAATTCTGCTGAGTTTCAGCACTTTGGTTGCAGCACGTGCTCATCTCTGGTTCCTGCCCTGAGTGCTGGTGCCTGGTGGTTGCTGAGATGTGGCTTCCCAGGGCAAGCAGAGTCTTGCTCTGAGTCTTGAGTGTGAGGAACAGGAACTGGGAGATTCTAAAAAGCTGTTCTCACACCACAGCATCTTGGTCTTCTTCCTCAGCTTTGGAGCTGGGATACTGGATGTTACTATTTTTCTTTTCCACCTGTAGTGAAAGGGATGGGTGGCAAAAAGCAGTTCAGTTGCAGGATGAGCAAACTTACTTTTTCTGTGGTTGGAGTTTGTTGCAGTTTTTAAAACCGCTCATATCTTTAAGGCAAGCAGCAAGGACTGTGCTCCCTGAAGAGTGGTTGGCCCTCCCCTCCTCTGGAGCATCGTGTGGAACAGCATTGCTCCCGATACTCAGCTCTGCGAGGGAGGCACAGCTGGGGAATGGTACCAGCCAGATTTAACAGAGAGGGAGCAAAGGAACCTGCTGGACGTGCCGAAACAGCAGCACTGCTTTTAGTGTCTCAGGTTGTACGTGCTCTAGAGCTGCATCCTGGAGAGTAGCAAGCAGCAAGGACTGTGCTCCCTGAAGAGTGGTTGGCCCTCCCCTCCTCTGGAGCATCGTGTGGAACAGCATTGCTCCCGATACTCAGCTCTGCGAGGGAGGCACAGCTGGGGAATGGTACCAGCCAGATTTAACAGAGAGGGAGCAAAGGAACCTGCTGGATGTGCTGAAACAGCAGCACTGCTTTTAGTGTCTCAGGTTGTACGTGCTCTAGAGCTGCATCTTGGAGACTTAAGTCTTAATGAGGAGCAGCTGAGGGAGCTGGGGTTGTTCAGCCTGGAGAAAAGGAGGCTGAGGGGAGACCTTATTGCTCTCTACAACTCCCAGAAAGGAGGGTGTAGCCGGGGGGGTCGGTCTCTTCTCCCAAGGAACAGGCGTTGGGACGAGAGGAAATGGCCTCAAGTTGCACCAGGGGAGGGTCAGATTGGAGATTAGGAAATATTTTTACATGGAAAGGGTTATTAAGCCTTGGAATGGGCTGCCCAGGGAAGGGGTTGAGGCACCATCCCTGGAGGGATTTAAAAGATGGGTTGACATGGTGCTCAGTGACGTGGTTTAGTGATGGTTTTTATCAGAGTTAGGTTGGTGGTTGGACTGGATGATCTTAAAGGTCCCTTCCAACCCAGACGATTCTATGATCCTATGATCCTTCCACCATTCTCGTTTACGGTGCAATTACGTGTTAATCTCACCTGACAGCCCAGGAAGATGCCCCGTCTCACCCTCTCCAGAACCATCCTGGTACCACAGACCCTGACAGAACACGCTGTCTCCTGTCGCATCCCTGAGGGGAAGAAATCCCGTTTTATTTTCCCCAGTGCAAACCCCACCTACTGTGCTTGTGGCGCTTGCGAGTGCTAAAGGTTACAAAATCCATCTTTTTGCTAAGAAAGCAACTTAATTAATGTGAAAGTTTCTCTGGTGAAGGGAACCCGCAGCAGATACGCAGCGCCTATTGCAGCCGGCTCCCCTCTTCCCTCCCAGCACCCCTCCCCAAACCACTTTAATTTCTCTGCCAATATTGGACAAATGTAACAGGCTGACTTTTTAATTTTCTACTCCCAGGTCTCCCTTGTCCCCTCATGCATTTTTCATCGCAGCTCATGGCTCCCTCCCTGCCTGCCCTGTGAACAATATTGATCGACTGATTAAGCCATCAAGCCATGGCAAACAACTTTAATTTTCTACCCAAAGCCTTTTAGTTCCCTTCCCTTTCTTGTGTATTTGTTGCCTTCTTGCGAAGTTTTTAATGTCTGCTCGGAAACAAATGCATTTTTTAAATTAGTCCCCGGGTTAATTGGGAGCTGCGCACCACCGAGAGCAATCCACATTAAAATATTAACCCAGAAAATGTAATAAGGGAGCGAGTGGGAAGTGCTGGGGAGGGACCCTGTCTCAAAGCCAGGATTGTTCCTGCCCAAGCCTTTGGAGAAGGGCTTGAAGAAGACTTCGGGTGTTTGCCTTTTCTCTTTGGTCTCTCCCAGTAGCCTTATCATGAATGTTACTGGGAAGAGAGGGGCCCCCGCAGCAGCACAGCACCCCTGGCCGTACCCAAAGCACTTGGACTCTAGGTCCCCAGCTGGGCTTCTGCAGGTTCTTGGACCACAAAATGCCTTCTCAGCTCATCCCACCGCAGGCTCATCGGGTCCATCCACACCACTGCCTGCACGCTCTGAAACCATAACGGTTCCTGCAAGTACACGTGAGACCCGCTTCGTCTTGTAGAACAATTGTTCAGCCATGATGATGATGATAAAGTGAGAGGAGATTCATCTGACCTGAATCCCAGGGCTGGCAGGTGGGTAAAAGCATCATCGTTCTTGCAAACTCGGTACATGTGGTTTCAGTGAGCCTTGTCAGAATCGCTCTGTGGGTTCGAAAATTGCTTTTCAAGGTAAAAATGCAGCTTAAATATCAGGATATTTGTCTCTCCCTGGAAGCCTTGGAGCTCTGTGTCGCGCTGTGGTGCTGCAGTCCCGTCTCAGGGGCTGGTCCTTCAGGTAGCACTGAGCCATGAGAGCACAAACTGAACCGTGGCGTGTGTCAAGGATCCTCATCTGAGCCTCAGCTCAACTGCCTGTTTCCAGTCTCTCCAGGCCTGTCCATTGTGAAGAACAACAAAACCTTCCAGAGGAACTGGGCTGCCCTCGATGGAGGGTTTGCATAAAGGCAGTGCTGGGACCAGGTGTCTTTACACCCCTGGACCTGCCCTGGACTAGTCTTTCTGCTGGTTTTGAGCTGGGAATCCATTGCTCCTTGCTCTGTTCCAATACAC